TCCAGCATACTACAACCATGGATCTAGACCCCTTGGACGGTTCGCAGGCAGTGTCTGTATAAATCTTGCCTTGCCTCGTCCCAAGGGAGGGGGGGGGGGTCAATAGCTTGTGGGTGATGAAAGTGCTTACCGGTGTACATGTGCGGGGCAACAGATTTTGAACCCGCAACCTCGTACGTCGCAACGAAATTTAATGAATAGTATTTTCTATTTTTTGTGTTCCTTCTATGGTTTTGCAAGTCTCCAAGACAGGCAGTTAAGATTGGCCCCTGAAGATGGCATGGTTATAGCTAAAAAATGTTTCATGTGACTAGTTCGTTCAGCTCTGTTAAGATTACCCCCCAAAGGTACCTCCACTCAATCTGGTTTACGGAAACTGGTTATCTTGTTGCCAATATGACCCGTGCAGAGCAAATTGGAAGAGGTTCAGAGGTCTGCTCAGGAGCAGTTGCAGTTGGCTCTTCAAGAGCAGAGCAGGTGTGCCTTCTTATGCAAGACTTACATATTCGCTTATGCCCCCACCTCACCCCTTTCAAGAACTGAGCACCCATAGCATGGATTGCGGGACTGTTTGTCAGGGTCACGAGACCGTTCATCTATTGTGGTAGTTCGAATTCTGCTGCTTCCTTGTGGGTATCTGTTTCAATCAATTATGTGCCTGTGGAGGCAATTTGCTGGAGTTTTTATCGCTAAAGTTCATTGATGGTTCCATGCTTGTTGTTTCACTGGGACATTGTCTGACAAAGATCTGAAAGTTTATTCATTGATCTGTTTTATGACCATCAGTGAATGGCACTCGTCAATTGAACTGCATGCTTCTTATGATGAATTCTCCATGTTTTGCTATCTGAATGACCAGAAGGATTCACCAGAAGGACTAGAGAAATAACTAAAAACAAATGTGTCGGAGACTCTTTGACAAGTCTGTTTAGCGGCTGGTTTCAACAACTGCTGTTTGTGGGTGGTTCAATAAGCAAGCAGGTTAAGGATGCATGAAACAGAGCCGCTTTTGAATTTGTCATTGAAGAGGGGCAAAGGGGGCAGAGGGGGGGGGAGGGGAGAGAGAGAGAGAGAGAGAGAGAGAGAGAGAGAGAGAGAGAGAGAGAGAGAGAGAGAGGCATACTGCGCAGCCACACGGGCCTGCAGGGCCCGACCAGCGTTCTCAGCCTAAAAGCCTGAAAACAAGGGCCTACAGGCCCTGTGTCGTTTTCAGCCTAAAAGCCTGAAAACAAGGGCTTACAGGCTCTGTGTCGTTTCAGCCTGAAAGCCTGAAAACGAGGGCCTTCAGGCCCTATGTCGTTTCAGCCTAAAACAGGGCCTTCCAGGCCCTGAGTCTTTTCAGCCTGAAACGGAGGGCCATTTTCGGTCCCTCATAAGATCAACCTGCCCTGAAACTTAGGCAGCAGACCAGGGTTTTAGCACCGCCCATTTTTGGCCTGTTTTCAAGACAGCCCTTGTTTGAACTTCAACGCCAGGGTCTGGCACGTTTTGACCGTGGAAGGACTGGTGCTGTGCTTCAGTGCATTGAGGCTTGGGTGAGAAGCCTGCGAGTATTTCAGGAGTTTTTTTAGACGATTTGGAAGTTGACTCGAGTGCCTTGCCTGGATCTCCTTTTGAAGTATTTGTTTTAAGTGCTTTCCTGACGTCTCAGTTATTCCTCTATGTGCATGCACTCTGCAGATCTCTCTCTCTCTCTCTCTCTCTCTCTCTCTCTCTCTCTCTCTCTCTCTCTCTCTCTCTCTCTCTCTCTCTCTCTCTCTCTCTCTCTCTCTCTCTCTCTCTCTCTCTCTCTCTCTCTCTCTCTCTCTCTCTTGTGTATTTTGTGTTGCATTATTGAATGATTGAAAGTACACTGGTTAATAGGGAAGTGAAAATGTCCTCCTTCCTCGCAACAGGACATTGATCGCGTCGGTATTATATTGACTTGCTCCTTGTTCGCTGGCAGGTTCTTTCTGGATTTGGATATTGATGCGCCTAAGCTGTCCATTCCAGCTGATATGTCAAAGGAAGGGCCTCGGGGTTCCCAACTGCTTGTCGATCTTGGTCACTTCAGGTTGCAAACATCTCTGGTAAGCAGATATTAGGTGATATATTGTTCCAGGGGAGCGTGTGCATTCTCTGGGGCATCACCATAGCATGTGTGTTGCAGGGACCACCATCTAAGCCTCATCCAACCATTGTGGATTCCACCACTTGGTCACTATTGTACTCCCTCGCTCCTAATCTCTGTGCTATGAACTTCCTCCATAGTTGAGTATGGTGCCAGTGCACCTCATACTGCATATCAAGGGCTTCCCTCACCCTCACCCTCTGTCTCTCTCCCCTCTCTTCCTTCCTCCAGCGCTGGCACTCATGTAGGGCTCCAGCCTCCAGTCAGCAGAAGGCAGAATGAACGAGTTGAGCCGGGCCAGTCTTTGTAGTGTTGCCTCAGGTTGTCTCCTCGGATGGTGAAGATTCATTGCTCTGTAGTCGTGGCCAGTGTGCTGTGACCGAATAGGCCCTGTAAACTGTTTTGATTGCCTTTGGATTGTGTGTGTGATCTGTGGCAGTGGTGTACGCCTGGAGAAATCGTTGACTTAGAGTTCTATGCCTGGGTAGGGCCTGACTGTTGCCTTCTTGGGGTCTAGAGGCCTGTTTCAGACCTGTTTCGAGGCCGTGAGACAGACTTTTGACCATACTTGAAGTGCATCTCGTGTGGCACTGCATGCATGCGGTACGTCCAGCAAACCCTAAAATAGGGTCGATGAAAAAAATCAGGAGGGGTGGGTCCCCTCGTAAAACTCGAGAGCAGACAGGAAAAGGAAAGTGCACGGCTGCACATGACAGTAGCCGCCAAAAAGTGTGAGTGTGTGTCTACATCTACAATACCATAACGTCATATCTACCGGCCCAGGTTGCGGGCCGGTCACCACCTGCGGATGGCCCAGATCGCAGGCCGATAAGAAACTTTTCTCATCGCCCTGCGATCTGGGCCGTCCGCAGGTGGTGACCGGCCCGCAATCTGGGCCGTGCGATACCGGTTCGGCCCGCCCAAACGGCCCTTCTGAACCCGCGCCCGCGCCCAGCCCTGAAATCGCCCTTCGAAGGGGTTTCTGAATCGTCTTGGGCGCTACGGCACGCGACGGCACACGACGTGCTCATCGCTTTATCTCTCTCTCTCTCTCTCTCTCTCTCTCTCTCTCTCTCTCTCTCTCTCTCTCTCTCGGACTGTGCTCTCCTTTGGTGCGTCCGCAGGTGGTGACCGGCCCGCAATCTGGGTTGTGCGATACCGGTTCAGCCCGCCCAAACGGCCCTTCTGAACCCGCGCCTGCGCCCAGCCCTGAAATCGCCCTTCGAAGGGGTTTCTGAATCGTCTTGGGCGCTACGGCACGCGACGGCACGCGACGTGCTCATCGCTTTCTCTCTCTCTCTCTCTCTCTCTCTCTCTCTCTCTCTCTCTCTCTCTCTCTCTCTCTCTCTCTCTCTCTCTCTCT